ATCTGAAGCCATGTGTTATCTGACATTGGGCTCTGACGCAGGACTTTACCCACCCCATCAAGCAGAGTTGGTCCGCTAGAGAGTATATTTTACCCGAGTGTGGCAAAGCCTGGTAGAGGCTAACCCGAGACCTAGTAGTAGTAGACGCTACAGGGTGTACCTTACTGTACCTATGCCAATATGGGTTTCTCCCCTTATTAGGCTATACCGTCTTAATTCTATGGATAACATCCGCGCACAAATTGATTTTTGCCAATCCTAAAAAATCACATCGATCCTCTGAGTCTCTGGCCTGGCTCTAGGCCTGGGTAGTCCATGCTAGTTAGCCGGTGAGACCTCTTTCTGGAGGATGGCACCCAGGCTACCGAAGCTCCACAACTCAATATCTCAGTACATACGTACAGTGCTGATTCATAAACTTTGCAAAAACTTGTGGTATACGTCGCTATGTAATGACACAAATTCACAAACCATTTAGTTAAGTCATGTGGCCTTCCTCCTAATTTCCATGATGACTCTTCACAGTTTATATATGTTATAGACCCAAAATGTTGGGGTTTCCTTTGTCAATATACTGTGAGAACCATGCTTATACAATATGTGTACGTGTGGTACCTCATCATCAGTATACCAAGCTTGGTGCACCTGATACCATGACCAAGGAAATACGGCAAATGCACTTGCATTGCTCAGATTACATGAGACCATTGATCTGAGATACACAGTAAGGTATGGATTGATATCAGGATAGCAGAACTAACAACTTTTGAACTAACTTTTAGCAGAACTAACATCATCTATTGGTAGATGCAACTATCAAAATTATATATGTAATGGCATGTTCCAGAAAGCCTGTGGGGTGGGTGGGGGTGAAAGAGGTCAAAAATAAACTTTTGTCCCTAGCCTTCTTTCAAACCAGGTTTGCTCAAACCCTCCCTTAATTTAGGGATTGAAATACTGGAAAATTGGAGCTGTGCGGTTATTCCAATGTTACCTGCACCAGTGCTATATGCAGAGAAGAGTGTTTTGGGCCCTGGTTCCTTGTGCTGATTTGCTTAAGTCAAACCCTTCCTAGTTCCATGTTAAGATTAGGGCAAATCCTCCCCTAGTTCCCCGAGCACCGTGATGCGCCTATTAAAGTGCCATTGACAGGAGGATAGAATATTTTCATACTGTTTAATCAGATGTATTAGTTTTCTTCTGTAGCCAAATGCTAATTTATTTTGCCGAGAATATATAACGTTATAACGACCATACTATAGCTGGTTTATAGCTGGTATATACTAGTATTCAAGAACAGAGGCACTCAAAGTGATCGAGAAAGTTTGTAGAAACTTTTAGGTCGTCCTCACCACCCCCCTCCCCCATGCCTCGATATTTCCTGGAAACTTTTGGTAAAATTCCAGGCGAACCTTAACCTCAACTTTCGCATAAAGCATTCAAAAATGGGTAGCATACAATCACACTGAAATACCAAATAGAAATGCCATTAAGAGTAAACATAAACCATCAAACTTCAAGTCAAACACACGTACCTGTGGTGGTGATTTGAGACCGAAGCCGAGCGCGGCGTTGGTTTTGGGTTTCCCAGCATACCCTGGGGCGGTGACCCCGCCTGATGACCCAGCGTATGTCACCATCCATGAGAATCGCTGTGCTATCGTGGAAGGTGTCGGCTGTAGGACCGGCCGAGTCGGCCGCCCCGATATGTATCGATGGAAGGTGGTCCCCTTTCCACGATAGTTATCGTGGAAGGCGATCGAACGGGGTGCCATCATAGGTCGTACCTGACGTTTTGTAGTCTTGTTAAAGACCTTCTGGTGTTTGGGGTTTAGTAGAATCACGTTATGGTCACTGCGCCCCAATGGCGAGGTCACAGTGGGCGGGTGATAGAAACCAGTAAGGTTTGTCATTATGAGGTCAAGAATAGCCTCGGATCTGGTTGGAACATTTACAATTTGTTGAAGACCATTGCCAGAGCACACATCAGACATGTCCATACGGTTAAAATCGCCCATAACCAAGTAACCCGCACTATCATATTGGTTTCTCAATTTGTCTATGGTGTCTAACAAAAATATTTACAAAATGTTTACAAAAATAGAATACGTAACTTGGCTGGGGACGTCGGTAATTTGCTAGCATCGGTCGGTGAGCGGGAAAGACAACATTTTTCGTAGTCCTACTAAAATAAAGTATGTTGTAGCGTTGAAGCAAATTTAACAGTATCAAAAGGATATTTTTGAACAGCAGAAATAGGTAAAGAATTTACCACTCAACCTAAAGATTATAGTCAACAATAAATTACTTCATGATGAAAAAGAATAACCTTGCTGACAGTTGTTTCCAGTCCACCCGGTAAAGCAGGTGCAACTGTATCCACCAGCGTAGTTCTCACAGCGGCCATGTTGACATGGGTTTGTGGTACACTCATTGATGTCTGAGTTTAAATTAAAAAAAAAAATAAACATGTTTGGGTTTACCTACTCAGGTACAGTCCGTATATGTGAAAGAAACTCAGAATCTATTACTTTCCAGCTTTAACCCTCAAACCACCGTATGGGGTCAAAAATGTGTACAAAAATGCATACAAATATGTGCCATTTCGGCGTATCTTGTCGTAAACGAAATTCGTCCTATGTGTTTGTTTGTATAAATATCTTATAATGTCTCATTCGATTTTACTGGGATTTGCGTATGGTTTATTGAGTTATTCTAGAAAGTCAATGCGTGATTCTGTGGGGTCAAACTGACCCCAGCGATTCTGACACGTGTAGGTCTTATGTTACCCTTAAGGCCACAGCAAGTAAATTTTATGGATAACAACCACCACAGACTCCAAATCTAATGCAAGCGGGCGGAAAAAAGGCGGGCCGAAAATAATTCCTACATTTCAGAATTTTTACTCAATCATTGTACAAATGGTTTTGATTCAGTGGGAACATCACATATACACAGCCAACATCACATATCCCTGCATCAGAGTAAGAAACAAAACATTAAATCAGAGCCTTTTCTTGTCTCCTCTCTCCACCTTCCGGCATGGCAGCATACATCTTCGCCCATTTCTGCATGTTGACCACTGTCAGAAGGCAACAATCTTTTTCCAAAATCAGGGGAAACTAAATGCGCGCGCTGATGTCATCCATAAGAATTACTTGCTGTGGCCTAATATATCTTTTAGGTGATATGTTTAATTTGTTGTTGTTTTTTTTAAGACCTCAACATGTTGTGTCAGGAAACCAGCAATATGAAAAAATACCTTGCTGACAATTCTGTCCTGTCCATCCAGGGAAGCAGGTGCATCGGTATCCACCAGGGTAGTTCACACAGTTGCCATGTCCACATGGTCGTGCGACACACTCATTGACGTCTGCGTAAAAACAAACACAAATGTTTTTGTCGGTGTCTGTTTTCAATTAGCTCTCGGGAATAAACTTGCAATGCAGAATTTAAAGAACTCAAAATAGAATTTACTGACAAAGATAAACTTTTGTGCTAAAATCCATAGACGTAAACCAAGCAAATATAAAAAAAATCCATATTACATACAACACGTGATTGTTACTTTATTCAACTTCCTGAAAGGCCTTTTCTGCCAATCTAAAGGAGCAATTACGCTGACTGGTTTTAATTGCTAGTTACTTCCGGTGTATAGAAAACGAGTAAAAATAAGCGATGATAATGACTATTGGTTTATTCAATAATAGTATCATTTTTTTACAAGTGTAAATAAATTACAATGCTCCCGTGGATGTCGGTGGTTGTACGAAAGTTTTGTTGCAGTGTAGCCAAATAAGCGATGACAATTACTATCAGTTAAATCAATTCTAACATTTTTTTTACAAATGTATATCGACTATAATGCACCGGCGGTCGTAAGTGTTTGTCAAAAAATCTGTTGCAGTGTAACGTCATGAACAGTACCTTTAAACAGTGTCGATGAGAAATGAGGTAGGGTAGACGTCGGAAAGGCTGATCTGTTGTCCTTGTAAAATGTTGTCCACCATGACGGAGAAGCTGATACCTTCACTATGTCATCAACATCTGGCTTCCCTTCGTTATCCTAAAATTGCAAATACCTATTAAAAAGCATCACAGAAAGACAGCTTTACCTACGGAAATCATCAAAATAAGAAGAAAGCAGTTCTGCCAATCGTTGTCTACTCAATTGGATAAAAAAATCTTGATCAGAATAAGGGACTGTGTGTCCTCACCTTCCCTTTAGATATAAGGAGTGAAGCCAGGACTGCAGCTGTGACAACTGACGCTATCACAAGCAGGCCGCAACCCAGTGCAACCCAGCAGACCTTACTGGATGTCATCATCCTCAACATTTCGATCGCGCGGTCTAGAAGCAAATAATGGTAATAAATTCAGGGCCCTCGAAAAAATATGTCTATTTTTAACAGTTTCAGTTCAACACTAATGAATTTTTTTTATTCATCTATTTTTCAACCGAAGCGATTTATTCATCCAAATCGATTTTAAAAAAAATGTCGACGGCAATCTTATTTTTGAACGTTTCAGAATTAAATGTGTTTTATTAGAGTCACCTGAATAACATTTTCATTATATAAGTATACGTTAAATTAGTATAAAATTTCTTTTAGAAATAAAACCAGGTTCATTGTGCAATTCCATGCAATTGAATTGCAAATATTGGCATGCAGAGCAAGAACCAATAGGCATGCAGCTTTCCTCTAATCTTCTTGCTGATTGGTTGTTGAAATTTGATTAACTCCATGAACAGCTGCATACCATATTAAAAGTAGGTACTGTATTATAGTGTTTTGGTAGGAATGTCAAACTTTCCTGCTCAAGCATTAGAATGTGGGGCATAAACGCTTTTTTATCTTAAAAGCTTGCATCATGCAAATAAAAAAAAGTAATCACTAATGTAGTGGATAGCTATTCAACTGCTGTATTCGTAGCAGTGTTCGAAATACCCGTCTGCAGTCTGCAATTTGCAGATAGATTTTCAAGATTGCAGAAGAAAAAATCTTACAATCTGCAATTTTGCAGAAGGAAAAAATAGGCTCCGGATTCAATAGTTTTCAATTAGCAAAGCAGTGGCGCTGTGAATAGATCGAAAACCTGCGCCGCACGAACCTGCCGGCGTTTTCCAGCAGACTGTAATGTTCCCATATAAGGGAATTTGGGGTCAAAGTTGAACGATTTCGACAAGGCGACGAAAGGCGACGATAACCAAATATGGGCACTCGCCATTTTCAGATGTTAGATTTCGTCTCCCGGGAGGACCCGACAACTGCCTCGGCAATTTTCGGCAGTTTTCGCTGAGCATTTCCCAGCAGGCAACACGGCAAAGGAAACATGGCTCCTCCGAAAAACCACACTCGCCTCGGCGTTAATTTGCCGAAATGTCGATGTTTTTCCTTGGTATTTTGCACGATTCAAGCAAAGAAAACAAGTTGATCACATGAACAAAAGACAAATACAGCACTGGGAACCTAATGGTCCGTTTTGTTGGGCGGTAATTTCTCATTTCGTGTGCAAATTTACGTGCATCACATTGTGACCATATGGTGTAAAATCAGTGATTTTCGGCTCGATCCGAACCAAGCACGGCCCGTAGACTTGTCCTTTATGATTTCTAGATGACTATCGGTACCAAAATACGGGAAAATATTGTTGCAAAATGAGAGAGACGGAGACTAAGGTAAACTTCTTTTATTTGAAGGCTGGATTTTCATTTTCCTGGCAGGCTTCTTTGTATGTAGTGATCATCAGTTATTCAGTAACAACAAATATGGATTTTTGTTCCGGTCAAAAAACCGGTCCACCGACGTTTCGGTTTTTTTGGACCGGACCGATAAAATTTTACGGTCCGAACATATTTAAAAGAGTGATATTTTGAAGAATTTCAGTAATGCTACAGATTTACAAAGCTATACCGTTATATATAATTATATGATGTAAAAATAGGCATTATTGGTTTCAGAAGGTTGTAATATGGGGGCTTGTGTATTTGCAGAAAGTATTTCCAAATTGCAGGACGAAATTTTGACTCTTCTGCAATATTGCAGAGCACTGAAAAAAAGTATTTCGACCACTGGATATCTGTATAGATTCATACTGTGATAATATTCATGCTTACATGTACATGTACATGCAAGGGAAGAGCAATGTTTTGTTTAAAGTTCAAACTTTTGATCCAACACAAACAAATTATCTCACCTAGAGCTTTCAACCAGTCACTCCTGTCTTCCTCAGTAGACTGACCCAGGGAAACTTGTCATGTGGCTTCTTCGAAGTGTGGGTCAAAGGTATCTGGTAGAGGATGTTATCCCCCCTCCCTTCTCTCTCAAGGTTGAGTGACCAAAGAAGCCACCTGACAAGTGTGACTGCTGGAAAGCTCTAGGTGAAAGAATTTCTTTGTGTTGGATCAAAAGTTTCAACTTTAAACATGTAACAACCAACACAGATGAATTTTCACGATAGTGTAAGAGCAGTGTTTGTTAATAAAGGCACAACCGACAGACAGGCTGAACTACACCTGATCACTATGATCTGAGACAAGTTTGTTGCATAAATACAACTGATTGCCTGACACCGTGTGAAGTCAGTTGTTGACTGAGCCTGATGTTGGTTTGTTTCTGCTCAGGGGATGACTTTTCCATCATCCAGCAGGAGATCATCATGATGAAGGAGTGTAAACACCTGAACATCGTGGCCTACTTTGGCAGCTATCTCAGGTGAGCTTTCTTACAGGTGTAAGGCCCTCATTGTAGGTGAGTCATCTTCACCACAGGTGATATGTAACAGGTGACACTTCCCTACAGGTGAGAACCGTCCTGTTTCCTATGACCTCCAGTTATCCCTGTACTTGAACTTGAGGGAATGTAGGTTACATAAGCAGTCTGTCTCCAGTACATATAGTCGGCTAACAATGGGTTGTCAGTTACTTGCTCAA